AATAACAATAACAATAACAATAACAATAATAATAATAATAATAATAATAATAATAATAATAATAATAATAATAATAATAATAATGGCCACTCACACGCTGATCTGGGTGTTGTTGACCAGGTACTGCAGCGGGTACCGGCAGGAGAACCGGTACATCACGTCCCGCCGGTAGGTGATGGTTCCCCCCTCCGGGTCCTCCGAGCAAACCATGCCCGAGATGTTGATGTACTGCACCAGGGAGAAGTCCGCGAACACCCCGGTCCCCGTCTCCTGGGAGACCTGACGCGCGAAAACCACAGAAGAAGAGCTCGGAGGACCGTTTCCCGGAAGCGCATGATTGTCCTTTTCTGTTTATTTTAGTCTATGCTATCACTTTGTTTGATGTCTGATTATTTTAACTTATAATTTTATTTTACTTTCTTTATTTTTATGTTTTTGTTTTTGTTTTGTGTTATAATTATGTGTGCCATAAGCCTGTAAGACTTGTTTTCTTCTTGCGTGTACATGCCTCGTGGTATTGTAAACTTTTTCAAATTGTTTAATAAAGTTTTTAAAAAAAAAATATATATATATACTGGAAAATGTCATTATTGTGGAAAATATGAAACAGTAGAACATGTCATATTAGAAAGTAATAAATATGAAAGAGAGAGAAGATATATGAGGAAAGAGTTTAAACGTATTAAGGAAAAGATTAATTTATTAGATATTTTGAGGAAGCATTTGGGGAGTAAACATATACAAATAGTTATTCAAAATTTAAAGAAAACTAAATTATATCATAGAATTTGATTTATCGAAGGAGTGAATTATATAAATGAGTAGAATATTAAGGTACATATAGATAGATAGATAGATATAGATAGATTGATATATATATATATATATATATATATATAGAGAGAGAGAGAGATTTATATATATATATAGATATATAGCCCATTAAGAACCCAAACTCCATACCGGTAAGTGGCGGTAATGCAACTAAAAGTTTGTTGCCAACCGCCAAAATACAACAGAAGAAGAAGAAGCTTCCCGGAAGTTGGGTGCTGCTAACCGGAAGTCCGGGGACGGACTCACCGTCAGGGAGCTGGAGCAGGCGGCAATTCCCTCGTCCGTGATGGAGACGTTGAACCGGGCCACCGGCGGGTCCACCGTCCAGTCGGCGGTGCCTCGGCACCGATTTAGCGAGTGCTCCGAGTTTAGGGCCAGCAGGGACTCGTTGTATCCGCTGAAGTAGACGGGACAAAGCAGGATCTGGAGGTCCACCGTCTGGGACCCGCAAAACACCTCGATGTCCGTGTTGGCTGGCCGGAAATAACCGCGAACATGGTCATTTTAGGCGCTTTTTGGTTGGAAAATAGAGCTGCGTTGACTCCAAAAATGAGCATAAACGTTTTGTGTTTGAATAAAGCTTATTTTGCTTGTGTTTTGGTCGCCTCCCGGTTAGAGTGCCCGCCTCTTCCGGCGCAAAAATGTGACGTCACTGCCCACGTAGTTTCTTGTTTAAGTAAAGCTTATTTAACGCACGAAGTAATAATGACACATATACATAGACATATATAGATGTATATATGTCTATGATGACAAAAACCAGAGCTGTGCTTGTTTTGGGCTTTTTTTTTTACATCGTCTCCGGGTCAGGGCACTCGCACAAGTATGACGTCACTGACGCGCCAGCTGCAGTAAAATAACTGAGGTCTCTTTAAAAAACGCCTAAATTTATAGGATACCTGACCACAATGAAGGTAACCTGGGTTTTATTAGAAAAAATCTTATTTGTGTAGTTCAGACTGTCCTAAAAAGTCCACTTTTGCCTGTGATATAGTGGCAAAATAGTCTCCCACGACACTCATTTTCTTGTTATTTTTCTCAAGGTTTCCTTTAAACAATTTGTACCTTTCTCTAAACTGACTTTGGGTACCACCTGAAACATTTCGAAAACCCTGACAGTAAATATATGGCAGTACACTGTGAATCTGGATGTTTAACTAAAAGTGCTGATGTTTGACCTCATGGGATTCAAGCATCTTAACTGAAAATAACCATTTGAAGCATTAAAAAGTTGAACGACTAGTAGTTATTTTGATGGACGTGTTGTCAGGTCACATGTCTGGTGATTAGAGGATTATTCACAGGTTCACTTCCTGAGCAGCTCAGATCACAGCACACGGGAGCCTCAAGAATCAGCCACAAAAGGGAATAGAGACACTGACCTGGCGCCCTGAAGGTGGGATGTCCCAAACAGGCATTCTGAGCCCGGACGGTAAAAAGTGAGGCGAGCTGATATGTAAGAAGGGCCAGCCACATTTTCCTCCTGCTGCTGGAAAAGAAAAAGGAGGCTCGACTAAAAACAGCAAATCCAGAATAGATACACTCTGCTTAAAGGGTTAAAAAGGAGCTTCATTCACAATCCCTGAATTATAGACACGTTGCTCCTAAATATCTCATTAATTCCTCTTTAAATTGATTATATTTTTATAGTAGATAATAAAGGGAGGGTATCTGTTGTCAAACAGAATATTAAAAACTCTGATTTCATAAGTATTTGAACTTGTTCACTAGCTTAGGTATTTATCTAAAATGGCTTCAGACTTTCCTTTCTGATAAAGTTGATATTTAGAGATGGCTCAGGGACCCTAAAACATCCCATAGTTCTGTTGGGGGGGGGGGTCTCCCATGATGCACCTCTCCTCCCTCTGCTGCTGTAGTTTTATTGAACTGTGCACATGACAAATGGATGTATTTTATCTGCACTCTTTCCTTTTAATCTATTTAATCAATTATGTTTTTTCATTTAGTTAAACTTATTCTTAATTTTCTGCTTTTAAAATCCGAATAAAACACTTAGATTTGTCTTTTACACAAAGTGTGCTGTATAAGTTAACTCTCCTTGCCTTAAACTACTGAGAATCGTGCAGCTAATAAAGGACATCGAAACACCTTTTAAAGACGTTTAAACTTCTTATTTTAGAGCTTAAATTCCTAAATGCCGTCAAAATGAGGATTTATCACCAGATCATTTTATACCCTTTAAGCTCAAATTACACCAGTGATGAAATTACTGTGAGAAACGCTTGGGGGGTGATTCCAAATATAGAGCCGCTAAGTTAAAAAGAGCAAAGGCTCGATGTTCTATTTGGAAATTATCAATTAATTATTAAATGAGGGGTAAAACAGAAATTGTTCCAGTTCAATTAAGGTGCAATTGTTCATTTAATTTAAAATTCAACTAAAACTCAGACTCATGAAATAAAGATCTGAAGATGGAAGATAAGTAAGATAACATCAGACTAAATTATTTCTGATTGACTAACTGAACTAAAATTAAGAAATGATGAGACAAGATTGAGACAAAACGAGATCATTTAAGGAGGGATACGTTTGCCAAATAATTAGAGAATACAGGTTATCATTAAGAAAGAAGAAGATAAGACTAAGAAATGATAAGAAAAGTAAAAATGAGACAAAACAAGATAATTCAAGGATGAGATAAGTTTGACAAATAACTAGAGAAGACAGTTTATCAT